TTTTCATCATTTAAACCCTATACTGTATTAGCAAGAATCATCCACTGGTATGATAAACAATATTATTTGGGACTTGGAAGAGTGACAAGTCCATATGAACTTGCTTCATCCAAACCAGGAAGAGACACTGCTTGACATTTGAGAAGAAAGACAATGTCAAATGAAATTCTTCTGTTACAAAGTACGTGAGAGTCATTGTTTCAATTACAGAGCTGTAGAGTATGTCCCCTGCCTTAAGTCACACCTACAAATGTCTCATTTGGCTTCCTCATCTTTGAGATTACTTTCTTTTCACTTTACAAAAGATAAAAGTCAATTCATAAGTAAACGATTTGCACAGGGAGAAACTTAGAATGTCAAAGGCAGATGAATGGCTTAAAATTGCTTTGTCATCACATTTCTTGGTCATTTGGAACACAATGAATCAAACGATTTACAAACAAGGCACAATGTCTGTAAAGGATCTGAACATTGAAATGTTTCCTGCATACCTGCATGTCTCTCTCCAACTGCAGTAGGTGGTACCTGTGCCACGTGAGAAAAGCTGGTCCTTCATGGGAGAAGTCCACTTCACCAAAGCTTTCCTGTCCTGCGCCAAGGAAAGTCTTTTTGACTGAGTAATAGTGTATCCAAACAAAGTAGTTATAAATGGATATGTTCTCAAATTGTGGTGTGTTGCCATCTGGCCCCAGTATTTCTTCTGATCTCCTGGTGGCAATGACAAACTGAGGGTGAGTTGTGCGCTTTGCCATATCCAGGGCCTGGACAAAGTAGTTCCTTTCTTCTGCACTTAAGTCCAGAAGGTTTCTCCTGACTTTAGGGATACAAAATTCAAACATGAAAACCTCAGCCTTGTGGGGATGGGTAGAGACTGAGCATATAATTTTGTAACACACCATCCCATTTACCCATAATGATAATTTGCATATGTGCTTGAATAATTTTAAACTTTTTAAAATACCACTCTTCCTCCCTCCTTCCGTCCTTCCTTCCTTCCCTCCCTCCCTCCCTGTGTCTCTCTCTTTCCTCCTTCCCTCCCTTCCCAAATTACTCTAGGATTCCTATTACCTTTCTATAATCTACCTGTGGACTTTATGCTGGTTGTTCTATTTATTTCTGCTTACTGTTGGCATTTTTCGTGGAATTTTCTCCATTTTTAATATTGTAAATCTTGTAAAAACAAGGTATGTGGTATAGCACAGTACTTAAGATCAGAGACTTAACTCTTATTCTACGAATGCCCCCATGTCTCTAAGCCTCAGTTTTTCATCCGTAAAATGTTTGTAAAAATAGTATCATTTTATAGAGTTGTAAAGATTAAAGAGTATACACATTAAAAAAACAATTATAACAGAGCTTAGCTTATAATAAAGACTCACTGAACATTCTGCTAAACGCTAGGCCTGGCACATAGAAAGCTATCAAGTTTTGCTGGCTGTTACTGTTTAATACCATTTAAACCATTTATTTAATGCTTCAGTCCAGGCTCATCATCTAAAACGGCAGAACTTCATCATCACAGTGGGAAATTTCCTTGTGGGTCAGCAAGGGTAGTAGAAGCGGCTCATATATTACAGCTACACAGGTCTCAGTAGGAATTCTCAGTAGGAATTCAGCTATGCGAATTTGATCCTGCTGGACCACACCTAAATAGTTAAGGTAACTACTTTGAGGAATTACTGAAAGCACAGTATAAACATCCAGCACTGTTCCTAGCATATAGTGGCCTTTCAACAAATGTTTTTGCAAAGAAATATTAGACGATCTGAGCTTCACCATCAACCCTTTAAAGTGAATACATTTCTGAATCTCTCTAAGCCTTGGTTTCCTCATCTGTGAAGAGAGGACTGAGCTATGATTTCCACCAGCTCCAATGATTTGGGTCTCATGCAGGACTGTTTCTTCATTCATATCCCCACTTACCTGTGAGAACCCTCTCGTCACAGGCAGCCCCTCTCCATCCAGGACGGCAGGTCCCACAGTTGTGACCTGAGAAGTTGCCATTGCATCGGCATGTCCTATTGAAGAAGCGCGTAGGCCAGCCCTCCCGGTCGTCTCTGCCATCGTGTGGGTACTGGCGGCTGTGGGGTCGCGAGTCCGCCGTTACCGCCTCACACCTGCCCCTCCCTGAGGAGGCGCCGCAGAGGTCAGTCCCAGGCCCAGAGATGGGGAGGAGGTCTGGGCAGCACACGCCGTTTCTCAAAGCCTCGGTGGTGGTACACTCTCTTGGAAACTGAGCCCAAGCCGGCTGGGAACAAAGCAGGGCCAAGAAGTATCCTAGAGAGAGGGGTCTGTGAGCTTTCATTCTGTTTGAAGCAAGGCTCCGGGTCTGCAGTGTAGAGACTGAGGCACAGAAATAAAAATCAAGCTGAAAAGGAGAAAGCAAAATGGCATTATGCAAGGTTTTTTTTTGTTTTTGTCCTGTTATACATGGCATAAGCCCTTTCCAACCCATCTTCAAAATGCTTTTCAAATCTGTACAATGACACTTCAAACAAATAATACAAATAGTAATTTAGGTTTAAAAATTCGACATCTATGATACCTACATAATTAAATCCTCTGTTCTAGTCATTTAGTTTTCTTCATTTTTAACTTCTATTTATATATAAAATACTTATCCTGGATGCCATTTACCGAAAGCAGTCATTAGCAGGTCACCACCATTAATTCCACTTAACCATGAAGCTGAAAGAATGGGGGTCAGATTTCTGATGTCCCCTCTCCTAATGGAAGTTTGGCAGGAGTCCACCCACTTCCCATAGAGCTTCTCCCCAGTACCTCAAACTTCTGAGGGGGTTCTTTGCTAAACCTCGGTTACAGCTTAGTGTTTTATATTTGTAGTCCCCTGATGTCAGAGCTGTGAATTGCATGTGAGTTTCTGCCTGCTAACTGGTCACAAACCTGCTCACCCAAACTGGGAGGGGCTGGTCCTGTCCTCCACACTTACTAATCCCCTTTCACTTCAGTGAGCTTTTCTGCCCTTTAAGTACTTGCTTAGCACATGATTCCCTTCCCACTGATTTCCTTGTGATGCTTAAAGTTTTAAGAAAAGGTCACAGGCAGTAATTTGGAATACAGCAAATCAGAGGAACTAGAGAGCTCTTGTTTCCGTTGTAGAGATTTTATTTTTTTTCCTTTGACATATATCTTGAGCGAAAGAAATGTGATTACTTACTCTTTCTTGGGGATACATGGGCTCGGTTAGTGCTTTCACCTGATGGTACCCTTTTGCTTGTGTCTGGCCTTGAAAACAGAGAATGCGATTCTTACAATGTCTAGAGAGAATAGCTGTTGAAAAGACATCAGATACAACTACACCAAGTCACATGACATTGGCTCTCATGGTGCCTGCTGGTGTTAACAGTTGGATACCCCAACTCCCTTACCTTCACTGGGGTCGTGCACATGTCTGTGGCAAAGCATTATAGGGTCACTGCTGCTTCTGTGGTTTAGAAGATGACCACTAAATAGCTTCTTTCCTACTTCCTCTGCAAGCAGTCTTAAGCCAATGTCACTAACTTTAAATTATTTAAATGCCTTACTAATTTTAATGGCTTCATATAATCATTAACCAATATCTCAATATTTCTATCCACTCACTTAGGGCACAGTTAATTGGGAAAAATAATGCATATTAAATGGCATTTAGATAGTCTTTTGGTTGTTTGATTTTTTAAATCTGACTTGTTGCTGAATCAAAGTAGATTGTCATTTTTCTCTCTTGAAAATTAGCAATGTACCAATTCTGGTTTCTTCATTTCGACAAAGGTACTAAAGTCATGTATGTTCATGTTAGGGGAACTGGGTGAATGCTATATGGAAACTGTATCATCTATGTAACTTTTCTGTGTTATCTAAAATTGTCCCCAAATGAAAAGTTTACAGTAAAAAGCTATTTTAAAAAGTAAGTATTCATATATATTCATGTGTGCAGATAAAAGTAAACTACAGTGTGTCATAACAAAAACAAAAACAAACAGAAACAAAACTGAGGTTTTGCCCATCACTTCTCTTTGCTGTGTAACTTCCACAGTGCTGAGGACACCAAGTTCAGTATGATACGTAAATGGCTGATATGGAGCAGGTAGGGCATCAGTATCAAATCACATAGTATTAATGAAATACTAGAATAAATATACAATGGTCTGATATTTTCTTTCTGGACCCTAATGGATTTGTGTCCCCTCTAGGAGATCATTACTAAGGGTGACCTTTTTCAGTCGAATGGAGTTCATCTATGAGCTGGTCAATCCCAAGTTAATAACTCTAATGATATTTTTTTCCTCAGAAATTTTGACTTACGTATCTAACTTCCTATTCACTAAGACCACTTATGTGTCTAATTGGTCAGACATTTATAAGTCATATTCCTCCGTCTTTCCCATCTCAGTAAATGAAATTGCCGTTCATCCTATTTGCTGGGAACAGGGGTGGGGGGAGTACATGCAGAAGCCATTGTTCGTTCCTCTTTGCTTCACGCAAACTGCGTTCATCAGTTGGTCTAACAGTCTAACTTGGAGCCTTCATTATCTCTCAGCTACGGCAATTGCGTAACGTATCCCCTCACTTTCCACACTTAACCACACAGAAGATTTGGTTCCTCCTTTCTCTGACTCCTTCTTCTCATCCCCCCACTGCCCTCCCGCATTCCTTTGTTCAATGGCAAGCTTATTACAGCCTCTGCTCCTTACACTTCCTATACCCCCTGCCATTTTCCCAGGTCTTTGTATGACTTGTCCTGTCACTTCATTCAGGTCTCTGTTCCAGTGTTACCTCTTCAGAAAGACCTTGCCTAACAACCCCACCTTAATTATACCCCGTTGCTTTCTTTTTGAAGCAGGCTTTTTCATAGTAATAAGCACTGCCTGAAGTTTTTATTACTTATTCATTTTTCACTTAGTTATTGTTTGTCTCACTCCTCAGAAGGGAAACTTTTGTCATTTTTTTCCCCAGTACTGACCTACGAGATTTATAGGGAACCATATAGTCATAGTTTACATGAACTAGGAGTAGACATCTGATTTATTTACTCCCAAGTCTAGCGGTATTCAGAACTGTCACTGAAAGGAATAGATATAACCTCCCTCCAGTATTTTTATTAGCTCCTGTTAATGAGCATCGATTATTTTCCTAAATACTGTATATAATCTCTCATTCTTTCAAAATATTACTTCTATTCCTGATTTGAAGTTGAGGAAACAAAGGCTTGTGGAGTTTAAAATAAAAACCTTTTTTAATTATATAATTTGTAAGTGGAAAATTCAGGTTTTGAAGCCAACTTAGTTTCGTTCCAAAGTGTTTGCGGTTTGCAAGTACTACCCAGATTTTTTTAAAAAGATAGGCTGGACAATGGAAAGAATGCTGTGTTTCAAATCATGAAACATCAGCTTTGCTTCAGTGAGCAATTGCCTATGTTTCTCTGAATCTCAGCTCCGCATCTGTAAAATAAGTGTAATAAATATATATTGTCGGGGCAAATAAGCTCAGATAAAAATCACCATTAGAGTGCAGACAGTCAATCAATGCTAGTTTAATAAGTAAAGTAATCAAAGGTACAAATCTTAAGGTAGATAAAAAATACTAAATCAATACCTTATTCATATTTACCTTACTAGATGCAAATGTGTTTTATACAGTGCTTCATTATTAATAAATACACAATCAGCGTTATGAATAGTCCTGTGAAACAAGAATTTGGAACATTGAAGAGGGAGGAAAAGCTGAAATGGAACTCTCCATTACTAGACCACCAGTAGTAGATTCTACCACACACATAGTGACACAATTCCTCACCTTACTGGGGTTTTCTAACACAGGAGGCTGGTGCAAAGTGTAAAAAGAAAAATGTGCTATGTCTTTACCCTTTGTCTGAACATCATGAAGTGGTTAAAATGCCAAAATCCTTCACAGTTATTCACAGCATAGGTTGGAAATGATTGTCAAAATACATGTGCAACACTCCTTGCTTGGCCTACTGCAGAAACCATTTCTAAGATTTTTCTTTGGTGGAAATTAATTTTTATACAGTAATTTTGCCTCATGATAAGACAGTGGGCTAAGGCTAAAGCTTTGCCTACATGTACCTGTCTATACATGCACCTAACAATACATGCACTTATAAAAAAGAATGATTACTTATTATTTCTGGTTAATAGTTGCAAATGCACCAAGATCAGAGCCTTAGCTAAATGATACTGCTGAATTGCATAAATTATCTCTTAGTATTAAAGCATTATTAAACAAAAGAAATAGCTTTGAAGACATCAGGAACTATGCACAGAAAGAGTACTTAACAGAAAATTAAGAATTGTGCTGTTCAGCAAAACACACAGCAGCATAATAAGACTTATTAGTAAACACCATTACTGTGCATGTCATCCATGCATAACTGATGCGAAGATCATGTCTTAAGAAAAAGGACTGATCCTTCTTCCCTGTTTTTACCTTTGAAGTCTAATGATTGTCATTTATAAAAGAAGTCAGAAAAAAAACTAATGATAAAAGACAAGTAATTTAAGTTAAATTGAGGAGAAACAATTTCAGGAGCATCTTTATTTTTCCAAAAAAATTGTTAATGAATATTAATATCTTCAGTGATCATTTGTGGCAAACGATATTGACTATTTTTATTGTTCATTTGTATTACATGTTATTAAATTATATGCTTAGTTGTACTAAGCTTAAATTAATGGTTAGAATTCCAAAGGCATTAAGGCAATTCAGAGTCATCTGTTAGACCAGTCATGTGGTTTTGCCTCATGGAGAAGCTTAAATTCAGTGAAAGCAAAGGGCTTAAAGAATGTTAGGCCTGTGTTTTTGTATCACTGAGCAGCGATTCTGTCAAACATACCATTGCTATTTTCAGGTAGAATGTTTGAAGTTCAGGTCTCAGATAATGTGGTCTCTGATAAAATACCCCATTATTTTCTTAATTGAGTTTTCAAAACTGAACAAAATATTGCAAATGTTGGTGCAGGGCCAGTTTAATAATTTAATTTCTGTTTAGGGAAATTCTCTTTGGATAAATTAATATTGAAGCATTTAAAATATTTATTTTTCTGATGATTTATATTCTGCTTCTTTTAGCAAATGAACTTGTAAAATTTTCTTACAGAGACATTTCTAAGTAAGTGTGTGTTAGGCATCAAAGTCAAAACAATCAAATACTTGTGTTGGGGTGGAATTAAGTAATGCATTTATTGTGTAGTTAAAATTGTGCTCATGTCCAAAGATTGTGTCTATGCTATAATATTGGTAAAATGTAAAGTTTTCATTATTTTGACATTTCTGGATATATCTCTATGGCCACTATTATGGTCATCATCCTCTTATTTATCTTCTACTGTGTGCTAGAGGCTGCAACAGGGCTGATGCTCTCAAAACAGTGGGAACTATAGTCATTGTACCCTAACTACTTAGAAAATTGTTAAATATACATACATAAAAATATTATGTGTGTATACATATATAATATATATATGTTTTAAGTATAATGTGAGATGTGTGTGTGTATATATATATAACTATATATATATATAACTATATATATATATAACTATATATATATATAGTTATATATATATATATATATAGAGAGAGAGAGAGAGAGAGAGAGAGAGAGAGAGAGAGAGAGAGAAGATTGGCTCACTTTTTTCATTTTAACCATATTTTGAAAGTATGTAAAAAGCAAAATATCAAGCCTATACAATCTATATCAATAATGTCAATACTGTTCCTGTTTTAGCATCAATTATAATATTCATAATGAAATAATAAAATATGATAGATTTTACTAGCAAAAGAAATATTGAAGAAAGCATAAACATTCTAAAAGATGTCAATGTATACAGA